TTATATTGATATGAGTGGTTGCTTACAAATAAATGTGCAAGCTTGTAAAAATGGTTACACCATACATCAATTTAAATCTTATTTAATGCTCAAAAGTTTACTCCATGACTTTTATTGTTTCAAACAAACTATTTTGCAACACATCGAATATGTAGAAGCTAATACCAAGAGTGTCAAATATAAGAAGATACACTCTACTAAAATAATGGATATTATTAATAATGAATAATGAAAATAAAAAAACAACTCAATTACACCATCTAATTATAGAATGCAATCCGAAGGAAGAAAAATACAATGCAAATTAATGCATATTGAATAACTCGAATTCAAATCCTTATTGCATGAACAAAATTTGATATACAAACATTCTTAATTTTCCATTGTTAGGCTACATTCAAGTTTGAGAAAAAACTTCACTTGTAAGGTAGAGTTTAGGACTTAACGGTCCGAGGGTAAAAAGATCCACAACCAATAGATCATAAACAAGTAAAGTTAGGATTTTTTAAAACAACAATATAAGGGGTAGTAGAAGCAGAGGGAAAAGATGTGTAATCAGCGATTGCCTTAAATCAAGCAACGTTGAAATCAGGAGTTAAAAGGCCATGTTTGAACATCTATAACAAAAAAATTTCTTTTATTGTGAGCACTGCTGTTTAGTTTTCGAGACCTTAATATAATTTTGAAGCATACGTTAGTTAATTGTTTTATAAGATGTATTGTTAATTTTAAGTTACTTCAGCAGATTTTTTATATAACTTCTATAAAAGCTTACATGTGGGTGGGGTATAAAGAACCAACTGAACCTTTACCCTGGCAAACGTTAAATAAAAAATAGTAAAAAAATATAAATTCGGTTAAAAAGGCAATTTTACAAGAAATCAATTAAGTGACTATTCAAAAATTGCCGATGAATATTTCTGATAAAATACTAGATCAAGGTTATGTGCAGTGTTATCTTTGTAAAAAATATGCTCATGGAATTTATATTTTGCATTGGTCCAATATTGTAACTATTATTTCGTAAAATCCCTTTGAAGTTAAAAAGAATACATTGGATCTATTTGCCCCCTGGCTGTCCCATTATACTTCGCCTGTGTGGTAACAATTTAAAAAACACATTTCTATAATTAGGAATTAAATGGTATTTTTACTGAACATAGTACTACAGTTGTTTATTTGATACGTGTTATGTGTTGTGATGTAGTTTATTTGGTTCAGCTAGCATAATTACCCCTAGCTGTCCCATTTTACCCCGCTTATGTGGCAAAAAGGGACAGATGACGAATTTTAAAAAATAGTGAAACAATCACATTTCTATAATTAGAAATTAACTGGGATTTTTACTGAACATAGTACTACAGTTGTTTGTACTTTGTGCTCAGCCCTAACCTATTTTATAAATTGCTTGATCGAAGATATTTACCGAATATACCGTAGTACTAATAACAATAGAGAAGGATAATTAAAGCCGCCCAGGGAGAAATACAAAAATCCAAATTTTTCATTTTAAATTATGTTATGTGGTCAGGGAATAATTTGCAATCGATCAAGAAATGAAATCTCGAAATTCTACCTATATTAAAGCGATCATAATAAAAGTGATTTTTGCATATTTAATTATAAATAAATAAATTGTTTTCACTCGGAACTAGTAAAAGGCACCCACTGGCTGGTGGTAATAGAAAAGCGCTAATACATTTATTACTGTTAAATAGAAGATAATTAATATTGTTCTCGGTACTTGCTTGAAAGGCGTCAAGCTTTTCAGATTACTCTGTGCGGTACCTTTGCGGAGAACAATGTCAAGTTTGTAAAATGTAACGAGAGCCAATAAAACACTTGTTGAACGCTCGAATAGGCACAGGAACATTAAAATGAATATAACCATGCATCACGCGCAAGCACATGGCCGATTTAAATGTCAACGGTGCTGACGACTAACGACCACAAAAGTATAAGAGTTGCATATATAAATTACATGACAGCATAGCTAGTTAATTTCCAAAAAGGTATGTAATTCAGATCGCCACCTTATGGTAAATTATTGGTATTGTGGGCAGTATGATTGAAGTTGTTTTGCGCCTTATTTTCGTGTTCGTTCATATATATATATATATATATATATATATATATATATATATATATATATATATATTAGGGTGGTCCTTAATATGGACATTTTCGAAATTCCTTGCTCCCAAGGGCTCAAATGGTCCCAAAAATAAAAATAAAATAAAATTTCTCTTAAAGTTTTAGCTCTTAATATTAACGTTTAGATAGAGCGCAATTCAATCAAAATTTTGTATGGAAATAGCATGGAACAAATGAATCCATAAAACTCATTCATTTGTTGCTAAGTTATACCTAAAACATTTTTTTTTTTAAATTTTCAAAATGTTTTCCATGCTCTTTCCATACGAAGTTTGATTGAATTGCGCACTATCTAAACGTTAATATTAAGAGCTAAAACTTTCAGAGAATGGTTTTTTATCAATTTGGAACCATTTGAGCCCTGGAGAGCAAGGAAATTCGAAAATGACCATTTTAAGGACCACCCTAATATATAAATATTAATCTAGAATGATCACGATGATCGTATAAAGATAAACTACCCACAAGATATTTTTTTTGAAAATGGCGACTGTCTGAAAAAAAACTTTTTTGATATTCTCGAATTCTTTAGTAATAGTCACAACCAGAACGTAGTTTATATTGAAGAGAATCTATAAACAAGACTTTGTAAAAAATTTAAGTAAATCGGTTCAGTAAAAGTTGAGAAATCGTGGGTGTCGTAAAAAAGACAGTCGAGAAAAACTCGTTTTAAGTTTTGCGGTGGAGGATTGTCGTGGTCAAACAGCTATACGCCCACGAATAATTTACATTTTGAAAAATCATCTTGCACACATATTCTTGAATTGTTACACTTCAAAAATATCCAAAACAAAAACAAAATAGTTTTGAAAAAAATTCTTTTTTTTCTATTTATTTTGAACAAAGAACTATAACAATGAACTATGCAATTAGATAGCAAAAATTCCAATTAGCGCATTCACAAATATACATGTTTTAGAACTACCCTTGAAATAAAACATCTACTAATGTATCCAATATTGTTATTTCCTATATAATTATTTATTAAATAACCTTGCGTGAAATCCTATTTATCACATTATACGACCGTAGATTTAGAGATCATTGTTTAGAGTTTTCTATATTAAAAATTACTTATTAAAGAAATTAGCCGGTAACAGCATCACTTAAATTTTTACAATGAGGTACAAAAATACATGTTATAATGCAATACGATCAAACGATATGGTAGAAAACAAGAATTGTATTCTAATTGTAATCTTATATTCAAAAATATTGAATTATTTTGAATAATCATAGATAAGTGCATTATACATTTTACAATTATACACCGTAGAATCGTGAAATATGAAAAACGTATATAATTAATGAAATTCATATGTTAATTAAATAATAATAATATTAATAATTTAATAATTAATTGTCCTGTGACAAAATGATCTAAAGGTTTAAAGGTTTGTGTATGAAGATATTCTATTACAATTTAAATATTAATTGCATCAAATAATTAATAAAACATTAATATTTAGGTAAATGTGGATAAGTTTCTGCCAGATCATTGGATTAAAAAAAAAGTCACATAATGTGAGGTGAAAATTAGAAATAAATTTTCATTATATTGCACGTCACAATAAACTTTAGAATAATAGCTAAGTTTACCAAATTTATCTGGCGACACCAAAATAAGTGGACTATAGTTTAAATGCCTTACAGATACTAAACACCAGTGCCCCAGCTAAATTTCAAGTGCAACGGAACAAAAGTTAGCGATACAAAACAATGGTCTCGAAAAGAAGCATAAATTACGTTCTACAATCGGACAATTATTTATTTTCCCATGCAACCAGCCGAAGTCTCGAAGACGTGATATAAGCGTTCGAAGATCAAAAATGTAGGCCACCTTTTATACGGCAGATATGCATATAAGAAAATTCAATTATATTTGTAATAAATAAAAATCACTTACAATTTTCATGTTGCACGGCTTGCAATTCCGTCGAACTTTTTCTTCCTGAAATAGAAAATATACATTGAATACAGATAAGAGATTTATCAGACAACTCAGACAGACAACTCTGATAGACAACTTTATATAACATTGTAATCACAATTATAATTATAAAATAGATATATATATATATATATATATATTTAATTGTCAATTATAATTATTGGTTTAATTAATTTCACATTCACTCTAAAAGTATATGTAAATATTTGACTCATTAAACTCAAACTTATATGCATCATTTCACATTTGTTAAAATCTCTAACAATGTATATAGAATGTGCGAAGATCATAAAGTAACATATTTGCTTGGAAGAAAGTTGTTTCGTTTCCGAAGAAGAAATTTCTTTGCAGCACACATCAAACTGTGTCAATTCACATACTACTACTTATAAAAGCTATATTTAAAATTTTCAAAAACTCATCCTATTTATTCAATTAATAGGTTTTCTAAAATGATCCTGATATTCGATAATTATTATGATTTAACGATTCCTTTCATTGATACTATTTCAATAGAGCATTGATTTTTAAGGAAACCACTAATCAATAAATTTGGATATATATATATATATATATATATATATATATATATTTTTTTATTATTATTTTCATTATTTTTGAATACTAGTACCTTACTTCTCTTGACAAAACTTTGAAACTTTACGGGTTTAGTCTTCATCAGTAAGTGGTTTACGCCATGTTTTCATTAATGATCAGAATACATATCAAAATATATAAATAACATAATTTTTTTATTATATTCAATATGATGCCTAATTATTTAAGAGTCATATAGTAACAATAAAATATGATATGAATGATCCAATATTCTATCGAACGGAATAAAGATCATAATGTCCAATGATTTGAAGATTTAGTTATTGGTAATATTAACATGACCATTTTTATTTTAAATCCAGAAAGCAAATTTGCAGGTATGGGGGCTGTTGTAAAATAATTTAAAAAAAATTATACATGGCAAGTAATTTGAGTATAATAAAAAAGAGTTTTCTTTACAAAATAAATATTTTTTGAAAAATAATCAGAAAACAACGATTTACATTTTTTTAATTCCTGTATAAAATTCTTCAAAATTTACTTCCTAATCAACTTAATAAGGGTGCGTCCAATCACGTGAGGTTTTTAAGGAGAGGGGGGGTTTGACAAAAAATCACAAAATATCACATGGGAGAGGGAGGGTATGGTAAGATATCACGTGTATTTATTTTTTAGTTGATTTTTTTTTAGAAAAAAATCAAACATTTTCAGAAAAAAACTCAAAAATTTTAGTTTTTTTTCACGCAACTAAAAATACACGTGGTGTTTGGTTGGGGAGGGGGAGTAATTTTGAATATCACCACGTATCACCAAGGAGGAGGGGGGGTTTAAAAATCCTTAACAACTCGCTCACGTGATTAATGGACGCCCCCAATATCGCTTTAGTGTATTTCGTAGCGTATTTTGATAGGCACATTTACTTTATTCAAATTTTATAAAACAAATTTTTGTTGAAATATAATGAAAATAAGAAAAATAAGAAAAAAAATGAAAATGAGAATAAGATATTTTAAAAAGGCGGAACAAACTCGGACAAAGAGCAGAATCCGCAACAAATGTTGTTTCTAGAAAAATCCGTTAAGCTTCGTAGAAGTTCAGAACTGTTCAAGCCAATCCGGGACGTATGGTCACCTTAGAAACTTAAAAGTCCAATACAAAATTTTATTCGGTTGAACTATATCGCAATGCAATTCTACAACTACGATAACTAATATTTTTAAATAATTTCAAGAAAAAAAATATTTTTTTCATTTTATATGACTCAGACAGTTTTTTTAAGTGGATCGTCTGGGCTACGATGCATTGTTATGAATCAGATTAAAATCTTTTTGCATCAAGGTCCGAACCCGTCTCAAGTTCATCTAAAACTAGATGAAAACCGCGAATGGTATATATTAGATTATATCTGATTTGAATATGCGCCAGTGCACAATAGAGCGTTGCTGTAAATTGCGTTCTCGTGGTGATAAAAGTGATAAGATGCAAGGCACGTATCGTAGTAATGTACACTACACACTTTGGCGTGACTAAGTCCAAATGTTAATTGCATGTATATATGTCCCTATATACCTATATGCACTTGTTGAATGCATTCCTTTGTAAACTTTCACGCAAACGCCATCAGACTGATTTGCTGATTAAATGGTGACATATTGAGTTGGTTTAGAAATAAATGATCCCATTTGAAAATTTACGTCTTGCTTGGTAATTTATTGTAAATTTGAAGTTATTAATTGAATCTCACAATACATAGACACTTTCGATACGAATATACAAATATCCTGTTGCTGTAATAAAGTCATCCCGGTCAACTCGAACTTCGGCCAAGAGTGTAGTGGCTGTGTCAAATTTTTCTCTAATATTAGAGATAACTATCGAACAACTAAAAATATGAAATAAATAAATATAAAATATTTGAAATAAAATTTCACCAATTTCAAACACACGATTTTACAGTATTCAAACTTTTGATCCACGCTTTAAAAAATAGTGAAAATGGTTCTACCACTTATTCACTGGGATGCCATATATATAATCAGTATATTTATATTTGTTGTTTTTAAAATTGATTGTTATTTTACAGCAATCAGTATTATTAGATGTTCTATAAGCCGTATTGAGCACTGCTTATTACTAAGATTGTTACTAAGATATGAAAAAGTATTCCAATAATGGTCCTTGTGTGAAATAATATTTTGATTTTCAATACTAAAAGCTTTTAGAAGGCAACACCAATGTTACCTTTTTAATTGGATTATTACAGTAATTCTAGTAAGGTCTATTTTTAATTGGAAACATCACTATCTATATTTTCAAGCGAAAACCTATGTCAATACTGCTCGACATTAGGTTTGATACCGGTCCGAGACTCTTAATTGAAATTACATAGCTCCACGAAGGAGCCCTATTGATTATGAAGAAAAATATCGCCAACCATAAAGAGTTCATAATCTATAGAAATTACATCTATTCTTAGATTCTTACTGATAAATGAATTAAAAAAATCCATCAAATAACTATAAGATGAAAAGTCAACTTCATTAACATAGCTTTGGTTATATTTTATTTTAGAAAATAACCCGTATTTTTCAAGTTAAATATTTATTAAAATTATTAAGAAGTTTTAAATGAGATATAGACATTCTTTAGAATTTAGATGATAAACTCTTTATAACCTTTATAAACGGAGTATAATTTTTACTTATTCATTACAATTATAAATTGAAAGGAGCATAATATAAATGCAGGTTTCTTATTGAATTTATCACATATTGTTGTCAAATTGAATATTCAATAAATAAACATAGCAATGTGCCTTCACCGTTCCCACATTTCTCACACGAAGATATGTATTTTCTAGTAATTATTAACAATTTCGAATCTCACCCAAGTGTTAATACAAATACATTAGATACACTCCTATCATAATCTGTTTTTCCCAAGGTTGTCATTTTATTTATAAGTTTTATATCACAAAACACGATGATAATTAATCTTCAGTAATAAGAATAAAACTTGGTAGGTAAGGCAGAAACTTATACATACGAGTAATTGTTTTTTGTAGACAAAAGTTGAACTAAAAATGTTGTTATTTGACCGGATTCATGAAATACATACGGTTCATAAATTTATTTGTTGTAGTTCCTCCAGTTAGCAAATTTTATACTTCATAAAAGACGGTTGGGGTAAAATTAATATAGGCACATTCAGTATGAAATTTGAGCAACAAAAGTAGAATTGTAATAAATATTTGAAAGCTTATCTTGATTATTTCTATATTTTGTAATATTCCATTCTTTAAAAATATATTTGCATTATGTTCCAATGAAATAAAGAAGTTTAGAAACCCACTTTTGCTTTTTTATATTATATACTTTCATTTATTAAAAAAAAGTCATATAGTCAATGGCTTTGGCCTTTGCGGCAATATAGTGATCATTTTCAGAGTAATAAAATAAGATCAACAGGTATTAAGATATAAAAGATTAACTTTCGTACACTTTCTTCTGTTGTAAAAATGACAACAGCGAGATCTAAATGAGACCGCACACGGTTAATATGTAACATTCTAAAAGTCTAGGTAACTCAGAATTATTAAAGATTAATAATAATTATTTTACAGTTGTATATAGAGACTTTTAAATGCACGTAGTAGAGATAATATTTAGTTAATGGTCCAACACCAAACATTTTTTTAATACTAGTTAAGAACTTGCTGAACTAAATTACATTTTTCATCATCGGACATCTAATTATATGTCACACCGGAATTTCACCTGATGTATTTATAGTGATGTACTGACAGTGAAACTCGGTTCTTATTATAAGATAATTAAATATATTTGGAAAAAATTTAAAAAAAAATATACTAGAAATTATGTGCACAATATAATACAATCAAAAACGCATTTATTTTATTTTTACATATGTGATTAGTTTACTATTGTGCATGATGTTTATGTACTTGATACAAGGTTTTGTCTTGTACCCTGTAAAAAAACAATATAATACTCTGATATATTAAGAGTAATGAATTATTTCAATTTCGGTTCTACAAACTGCTAATTAAATCGCTAATTATTTAAGTCACGTGCTGAATAAAAACAAAAGGAATAATTCTGTTTAATCATCATCAAAGAACATTTTCAAATAACTGCTTTATAAACGCTTGATTGCACTTTCGAATTATTACCAGTCAGAGAAATTAATGATGATCGACGGCGTTAGAGGAGACGATATTCTCGGTAATAAAATTTCAACTAATTAAAATGATGAATCAGATTAAGAATTATTTTCGATAATGACATAAATTCTTTGGATTTACTATAAACCACAGTGTCAGTTTTTAAAACATGCGGTTCATAATTTGCATTTGAAATTTAAATTTAGAAACCCAGATGACATCGTTAACTCATGAAGATTCTGATTTGGTACATATCAAAATGTTTTTGAAAAAAGTTACTGTGGCGTATGAATTCGAGATAATTGAATTTTATCTTCTTGTTCGTTCGGAAAAATAATAGATTTTTTTATATTTTTACCAGACATCAGAACTTAACAATTCTATGAGTTGTTATAGTGAATATTCTCTTTAAGTACGACGCTTTTCAGAAGGTACCGAAGTATTGATGTTTTTTGACCAAAGTTCTAGGGCCTTGATGTATATATTACAATATGTTAAAAATCTTACTTTGTATAAGCTATTAATAACAAAAGTTAATGGCTCGTTTACTCGATTAAAGAGACTCATTTACAAAATTTAATTATAAAGTTATACTTCCGATTGATCAGCAAAATTCACACAAAAATTTCATATTGGCTGATGTCTTTGTTAAAAACTGCCATGCGGCGCTTGATTTATGGATATATTTTATATCGATAAAATCAATTAAATTTAACGGAAGTAAATACAACTACATGCTCTTGAAATCACTCAATAAAATTTACACGAACAGTTGTGCTTGGTAATGTGAGTTTTGTAAGTATTTTAAGAACGCTTAAATATCACTACGGAATCTGCAATGTGATAAAAAACATTGTTGAAATATCAACAGCAAAATGATAATTTGAATTTATCTCGTAGAAAAGCTAGGGGCTTAACAGTTTTTTTAATTAATAAATCTTAAGATCCACTGATTATATTCTACAAAATAGTAAAAATAATTTCACAACTGCTGTTCATTATCTTACAATTGATCATTTTCTGAAAAAAGTGCGGTGTTACAACTAACCTCGTGGTTGGGGCTAGTTGTAACCTCTACTAAGTAAAGTAAAAACGACAAAATACCGCTGATAATTTATTCTTTATTTATTTTTAAGAAAATTGACTTGTTTTTAAGTAATTTCATAAATCAACGCAAACTATATAATAATAATTAATACACGGTTTAATGCTCAATCGAGACATTTTTTTTTTAATCGTTCAAGATCCTATTGTAAAACGTCTTTTATTAGTTACCCCTGTTACAGATAGCCGAATTTGCAGAATTTGTGCATTAAAAATAGGAATGGAATATTTTTAGACCTATCAAAATATGATCAGTATAAAATTCTAGAATTTCTAACATAAATATGCTATAATACACGTGCATATATTATACATATAATGTATTAATCACATTATTTATCACATTATTTTTTAAAGATGTATCAAAATGATCAGGAGTCCAAAAGTTCAAGAGTCCTTTTGCAATTTTAATAACTTATTTTGTAAAAAATTAATTTAACTTAAACAAAAAAATAAAATATATATTAGACCACAAATTTTACTATTAATAATTTATGCATAATATCTGAAGGAATTACGATTTTTATTCTGAACAATTTTAATAACTAATTCTGCGCAAAATTAATTTAATAAGATAGACAACTCATAGATCGATTCTGCTACAGAGAACAAGTTTTAATATCAATAATCTTCAGTAAATTTTGCGATGTTGATAAATTCGAATGACCTCTAAAAGCCAGTTCATTGTTAATGAATCTATTAAATCTTATGTGTCGCGGATGTATTTCGTCAGTGAAGAAAGAATGAAAGAAATGAGCTTTCGCGTGTTAAATTTCGGCACCTCAGGCTACATGTAGAAGGTCAGACCGCAAAGTAATTTTTTATGCAGAGGGAACGTACGATTTATTTTATACACGAGTGCAAAACATTAACTTGCACAAAAAAGTACTTTTACTGCGCTCGATTTTACGCTCGCAGATTAATTGCAAACGATATTAATTTTATGCTAATTAATGGATTAATAATATCGAAAAAAATGAATATGAAGAAGAAAAAACTTCTTTTGAACAGATCAATGTGTTAATACAATAATAAAAAATATTTCAGATGAAGAACACAAATAAAAAATACTTGCAATCCTTTCATACTAATATTGAAATATTATTTACTTCAACTCATTTGTATTTGCAGTTTTCATTTCGATTTCTTGATACCTACTTAGAACAAACTAAATGTGAAATGTTTCGTGATAAGATTGTGATAGCATTAAGGATGTACTTAAGGTCTTCTCCATAAAATATGCTAAACGACGAAAACGCTTGTTTACTTTAAGAACTTTCTTTTCATTAGCGCTACCGATCTTAGGTCGGTCACTGAACTACACGAAGTTTTAGTGTCAATGTCGACAGATAAAATATCATGTGCTTATTTAAACACGATGTTACCATAGAATCATATTTAATTAGACATAAGTATTAATTAATAAACTGAGAGATTGAAAATGTTCATACTCATAATTATGAGTTCTGAATAAAAGAAATTGAAATGAATTTATTCTGTATGTAATCCAATGACATAAAAAATAATTCGAAAAAATGTTTAAATAAATCATGTAACCATATTATAAATTTCATTTTTTGCTTTTACAGATAGCACTGTTATGTGCTCTGCTGTCGAGCCCTGCATTTGCGGTTGTCAATAGTGTTGACTCAAAAAACACAACAAGACGTGAAGCTCCATTAGATGATTCATTAGCTATTGCTGATACATACGGACCTCCCTTAAAACCAGACCTAGGACTTCCTGCGCCAGTCTATGGTGCACCCGATCAAGCTCAATACCCTGCACCACCGCCAGATGTACCACCACCACCAGGTCCAGCGCCAGTTTTCTTAGCTCCGTCATCAGGCTACGGTTTGCCATCAGAGGATCCGGCACCTTTATTCGCAGTGCAACAAGAAGGAAATCCTGCAACTGTATACGGTCCTCCTGAAAATGTTCCTGCTCAAGTATATGGTGTTCCAGAAAATATTCCTACACAAGTATATGGTTCTCCCGAAAATATACCTTCACCAGTATATGGAGTTCCATCGGGTCCTCCCGCGCCTGTATACGGTCCTCCTCCTTCAGTGCCATCTCCAACTTATGGAGTACCCTCAGCACATCCAAGCCCTGCTTATGGACTGCCAAAACAAAATTATGGCCCTCCACATTTTAGCGGACCGCCGAAAGCCCATTACGGACCACCTCATAAATATTCATACAAATTTCCACAAAAGTTACACTTTGGACCACCAAAAGGTCATTATGGACCACCGCCTAAATACGGAAGACCGCTCAGACCAAAGTTCAATCATCCAGTATTCACTTATGGACCGCCCGGAAAACCTTTGGGTCTCCATGGCCCACCTGTAAAACCTCATGGTCAAATAAATTTTGCATATGGACCTCCAATACCAAAACCAAGCGCGATCTACGGACCTCCTTCACAAGTCAATTTTGGATTCCATCAACAAAGTGGTAGTTATGGTCCACCCCCGCCACCGCCAAGTGGTAATTATGGCCCACCACCAAGTACCAATTACGGTCCTCCAAGTGTAAGTTACGGACCACCGCCGAGTGCTAATTATGGTCCGCCGCCAAGCAACAATTATGGGCCACCACCATCCGCACCTAGCGGAAATTATGGACCCCCGCCCACAGCACACTATGGACCACCACATCTCACAGCACCAATTGGCCCGCCACATCCTGGAATTCCTGCTCCCCCCACACCTCCAGAGATTAAGTACGATGGTTGGCGTCCGATACCAGGAGTATCGGTATCCTCAAGTCATTCGTCTCATAGTTCTCATGAATCTCACGAAGGCCAGATAAGTCAAGGGGGTCACTCCGGTTTAGAATTACAATACGGGTTACCAGTACATGGACCAGTACAATTCACGGGTCATGGAGAAGGCCAAGCTCTTCATCAAGAAGGCGGCGGCTTAACGGGATATGCAAATGGATATTCCTCATCACACGGATCTAACCAATTTGCACAAGCTGCGGGTATTGCTTTAAGTGGAGATACTACAATATCATCACATGGAAATAATGGCTTAGCCTTTAATGGTGCTGAATCACATGGAAGCGATCATTTGAATGGAATCGATTTATCTTTATTGACAGGATCTCAACATCAAACATTAACCCAATCTAATGCCATATTCGAAGCTCACATCACTGATAATGTGCCAATTCAGGGACCTGTGTATACCCCACCTCCTGCACCTATTAGTGGAGAAGAACATAATCAAGCAAGTATTACAACATTCAAAAATGAAGAATTTGCATCCAATGACTTAGGATCGGGTAAAGATACTTATGGTGCGCCTCCAGTAGATTCGTTCTCTCCTGAAGGATTATATCCTCCATCGCCAAGTCAAGGTCAGCATCATCAGCATCATCAACATCATCAACATCATCAAAGCCACCACCATCATCAAAATTATCAGGATCATCAACATTCTGGATTAGCATTACAATATGGCACTCCAAGTGGACAGCTAGGATGGGGTCCACAAGGAACACAACCTCGCCGGCCACTTGTATTTGGAGAACCAGTGCCACCAGGTCTAATAGATTCTATCGGTAAAAGCGTGCAACATTTGGACAACTTTGGAATAAATAATTACGAGAAACATAGTAGCAGCATTTACTTACCACCACCGGTCGGCGGTCCACAAGCACTTCCGTTACAGCAACACTCAATTTCTAATTGCCCTCATCAACCTTTGCAAACTTCATACGGAACACCTGCTATTGGTCAAACTGACTTGGAATCTCATCTTCGTGCTGCCACACAAGCATTGGCTGAAGATTTAGCACCACCAGAACAGCAAATTGCTCATTCAGAAAAACAAGTAGTAAAAGTGGTAAAATCAGAAAATGAGCAATCAGAAAGCAAACAAGTGGAATCTGCAGCAAGTCCACTTGAAGGCGAGCAACAACCCCGATCTGCAGCATTAACAAGCAGTTCGCAAAATTCTATGTATTCTTCTCAAGGTTCTTTAATAACTGGTGCCCAAAACTCGCAACATGGATTTATAGTGCCAGTACAAGGTAATCTTGGATCGTACACTCTACAAATTCAATCCGCCGATGGCCTGAGTGGTCCATCAGGTGAACATGGCAGCGTTCCACACGAACAATTGTTATCAGAAGGCCTTTTGCAATCCATTCTGCAAGCGATTGAACAACCGCAATCCAAGCACGAAGTGCGCCCGAGTATCGGATCAGTGGTACAAAGTGAAGAATTTGTGCACCCCGTACCACCACCCACGTCCAGTTCTCCATCTCAAAACGAAGTAGCTGTTTATTTGAAAGACCCAAGCAAGTCAGAGGAAACGACAAAAAATGATCACTAAAAGTGATTTATATCGACTGCCTAATTTATGTTATGTTATTTATGAGATTAGACTTTTGAAGTGTGAAATAGATTTAACTAAATATTACTAGTATCATATTTATTCAATTGCATAAGAAATACGTGTGCGAATATTTAATTATTTTGTTGTATATATCCAAATTTTTTACTTACAATTTTAGTGCATAGACAAAATTGTTAGACCAATCTCTAGTAACGTATTTATATGAGTTATTGACTAGTGCCACATAATAAAATTTATAAGTATTGTTTATTGTCGTTTTATTCATAACTTAAAAATATTTTATATGAGGTGGGATAAACTGCTCCTATACCAACCCACGCAATCCGATTTTAAATATTAGCTTTCAATTTTAATGTAATAACTCTCAATGTTCTACTGAACCAAAAAAAATAACATAAGATATTTGTCCGTATAAAATTATCTAATATGTATCAAATCTGCTCAAAGTATGTTACGATAATAATGAAAAAAACATAAAGAAAAGACAAAAATACTAATGTAATGAAAACTCAGATCATAAGATCACTAATTTTATAAGTTATACTACGATATTTTTAAAATATATGTATATAGAATTTCTGAAAAAGCATTTTATTTATAAAATTATAATATTAATCAACTTATTATTAATGAAATAGAAACACTTGAAAGTTGGTGATATATTTGTCTAATTTATTATTTATATTTCTAAAAGTCTTATTTTGTTAGATTAAAATAAAAAATCCCATTGAAGCCTTTTTGTGTCAGACTACTACAAACAAATCTTAGACATTATGTTAGATCAATCATACAAATGTGTAAGAGCCTTATGTGTATCTTGACAATATTTTTTTACATATAATGCACTCTATTTTATATTTATTTTACAAAATAGTATAAAATTGTTTCTTGGGATGAACAAATCTTGTAACAATGTGTTTGCTTCAGATTAATATTGATGTACATATATAATACAGCCAGGCGGATAAGAAAACGATCAACCTGTGTCGATCTCTGAAAGAGTATTGCTTTATACTTTCTCAATTATTCCGAATTGCAAATTTTGAGATGAAGGCCGTTCAACCTGACGGCGCGCCCGCCCGGAGAAAGTTCCGGTATGCCGGTCACAGGGTCAAAGCAACGCATACACATCTCACGTACGCACCTTGAGACCGTTTTTTTTTTCATTTCAAGATTAGGGCGTTATTATACAACGTGGAATTTTCAAAAAAAAAGTTGGTTATAAAATCCTATTCTTAACAAATTATTTCATATTTCACAATTTATATAATGTTGATTTTTTTTTCAAGAATTTGCAAAAAACAAGTTTTTATAATAAAATTTTTACACAACTTGGATTTTCCAGAAATATTAGCTATGAAATTGAATTCCTAACTATTGTTTCATATTTTACTATTTATCGTAAGGTAACAGTTTTCTTTTACTACTTTGTAAAAGCTTGTTATTTGTTTTAAAATAAAAAAAGTGTGACTTGTGACTATACGATTGATGTTTTAATTCGTTTTTATGGAAATCAATCAAGTCATTTTAGTTATTAGCATCATAGTTGAAAAACTATCAATCATCGGTTTTGTATATATCTAATTAATTCATTAACTATGACTAATTGATTTCAAAAAGTTGATTTTGAATCGAGTGAAAAGTTTTGAGAAAAATACATATTTATAAAAACAAGCTGGTTAAAAAATCTTGCAAATAATCTAGCAGGTTTCATTCTAAAAGCAGTGATTTCAAGTCTTAAAAATGAAAGTTGCTTGCAGCAATCTTTGAATACTATATTTTGTAGTCCATCTTAGCACTATATTTTGATTTTGGAAGGAAAGTTTTTTCGCTAGATAAAAATAATAATTTGAATGCGTCAAACGACAAACAATGTGGGAGCAACTTTCGTTGTAGTGCGTCACCGCACGCACCGCACGCCCGCCAGATTTTTCAGATTTTATTATTGACTCATTGCATCAAATTAAGAGAAATTTTCTAAAATAAAAATATCTACTGTGATTCATATAATTCCGGCTGTATTGATTATAGTTAATTCATAGTTATTCCAAAACCATGAGTTATATTAGTATATTAGTTCTAAATCGATCATCCTCAATGTGCTATTCCATTACATGATCATTGATAATGTTAAATTGAAAGCTCTAAGAATAAAAAATAATCTACCAAAGTTTTGAACTTATTTTATATTTTATGATATCTAATATATAATATATATTTTATATTATAAATTTATATTATAGTTCTATGGACTGCACCGTGAATTAATGATTAGAGCTATGGGATTTCGATCAGAGATCCCAGATAGAATACCCTTCTCGGCATCAGTTGTCAAGCAGTTGTGACATCAGTTTTCACTTGAAAATAAACATAGCAATATGTTTTTAAGTGGGAATGACTTATCACTGTTATACAATAGTAATAATACTAGTTGTGTATGGCATCGTGTCTTAAGGCAAATTGCAGGTACTTCCCGTACCGTAACGAAGTATTCAAGGAATATTAAATGTTTTCAAATAGATTATTAAAAATTCTGTAATTTTCATTATTCTTATTTTATAGACAAAATATAAGAGCCAAAATATAAGATATGAATTGGACGACAACGTTTGTATATTTATTACAGAAAAGTAAATAAACAAAACTTATTCAATCGGATTAAAATAAACTGAATTGCAATGTTAAAATTATTTATTTAAAGTCTATAAGTGAGCTTTAGAACTTTAGACAGAATTCAAATTAAAATCCAAATTATTTTCGACATACAAAAAAAATTTTTTTGGAAAAAAAAATTAAAATTAAAAAAAAAAAATTTTCCCAAAAGCAATTGTTTCGTCAACATAAGCAGAAAGTTTTTTGAATAATTCAAATCGGATGCTTAATTCTCTCAAATACTGCCATTTTTTGCACATTTAGTTCCGTATCTCCGAAATGGCTGGACCTGCCTTTGGCAAAAACTAATCCTCAATTTTCTTTATCATCACGAATTGAATGTTTTATTCAATCAAGGATCATTCAAATCGAACGCACCGTTCTCTCATAAACTCGATTTCTATTTTCTGTACTCTTTGCTCTGTATCTCCGAAACGGCTCGACCTGCCCTTGATAGAAACTAATCAGCACATCCCCCTATTAATAGGAATCGAATGTTTTTTGAACCATTCAAGTCGATTGATTCGTTCAAACCAAATTTTCAAACTTGTACTTCTTTATATTTTATATTAATGTATGTCAAGAATGTAAGAGCACATGTGATAGTCCTTCGCTAATTTTAGAAAATTAATAAATAATTGTAAGTACTATTAGACAAATTTTATATTGATTTTGTTGCATTTGCAGAGTAAAATATTTTAGTATGCAATTTTTTAAAAGAGAACAACTAAATAATCTTTAATCATCCTTAAATTTTTATTTTGCATTATTTTACACTCAAAGACAAATATACCTGATAATTTTCAGGATAAATTGTACCATTTCTGTTTAACAAACAGAATTGAAACGTGCTTTAAACGTGTTTTTCATATACAAAATATGATTGAGATGAACATATTATTATGATTTTTGCGATATGATGTATAGAGTTTGTATATGTAATTATACATGCAATATACTGAGAGAAGTCAATTTATTTCAAAATAATTTTATATATCCATACGTTATGGAAATTATTTGAAGTATAAGTGTATATTCCACAAAAAGCTGATAGAAATCTCTCTTCTCGAGCTTTGGTACTTAGACGAGAAACTGCAATAGTTAATTGTTTGTGTAATAAATTTGTATCGCGATTGCGTTATAATGACGATCATGATCAATAACAGGCTACATTTTTCTGAACGGGTCATAAACTCTACCAATGCAATTAGTTAGTAGAAAGTGAATAATAATCTTAAGATTTATTATATGGACTAATTTTATATATACTAAAACGATAATGCACGGAACATTCAGAGCGTACAATATTGATTCGCAAATAAATGAAATTGAATATAAAATGTAAGAAAAGGACTAAAACCAAATTCTTTTTACCTTGTTCTATAGATGTAATTCATTTATCAGATTGAGCTAATTGACTATTTTCATCGAAGTGGATTAGATTCTATACATTTAATTAATAAGTTAATATTTTTGGTATCTCGAAGAAACTACGGTATACTAATTATATAGAAACCATCATAGGCATGAAACTGCAATTTGACTTTGAACAATTATCTTGTAAAAACCAAACCAATTAAATGAGAACAAATAACACATATCTCACAAATAACTATCTGACTATAATCGGTGAAACTCCCTAATAGCTAATTATTCATTATCGAAATGTGTTCTTTTACTATTTTTCAAAAAATTGTGACTTGGTCTCTTTTACCACTTAGGCAGGTTAAATTACGACGGCCAAGGAGCAAACAGGTGCAATGTCTTATTTTCATTTTAAAGGAATTTTTCAAAATAATAGGTACATTATTCAACCAGTGCAAAATTTAAATTTCATGAGTGCATTTTTTACAGAGATAACACTGAAATTAATCTGGTATTTCGTCAAAAATATTTATCAGCAGAGTTGAAATAACTATTTATTTAATCTATCTCTTGTAAAATAGCCTCTTTAGCAATTTACTTTTTTATTTTATATATTTTATTTTTTACACTTTTGCCAGGGTAAATGTTCAGTTGATAATTTTTATACCACCTAGGTGTAAGCTTTCATATAGGTAATAAAAACTGTTGATCTAACTTAAAATTAACAATACATCTCATAAAACAATTAAAAAACGTATACGTAAAAATTATATTGAAGCCTCGTAAACTAAACAACAGTGCTCACAACCAATATAAATAACAACGAAGGAAAATACTTTTATTACGAATTTTCAAACATTGCGTTTATCTTTTGATAGTAACGTCTTAAGAATCGAGGTAATGGCTGGTTGTACATCTTTTTCCCTCCACATGCAAATACTGTTAAAATATCTTAACTT